GCTTTAAAAATTCCATTTACAAGACAATTGTTTATAATAAAATTCTATTCAATAGGTAGACTCATAACGATTGAAAAGAATGTTTTTGTTTGAGTTTGGGTTTGACCAATTCATAAAAAAAAACAAAACAAAAAAAAAACTAATTAAGACATGCGTGTCCGTCAACCTTAAACAATAATCTTTGTCAATTTTATTTTTCAGTCTATATGATGGTCGATACTTGATCTATCTCTTACTGTTACATCCCCAGGCAACGCCGGGCTCTACTGCTAGTAGTAACATAATTCACATAGAGAAAACATATACTTGTGTGTACATAGATAACTGAAACAGGAAGAAAGACATTATAGCTGTGTTATAAGAAAATGTGTGTGAGATTGAGATATACCACACAACTGGATGAAATTATGATGACAGCTTATCAGACAAAAGAATTTCCTTCATCAGAGTTAAGTCTTGTTTTTACTACTACATTCTAAAGTAAAAAAAGAAGCGGGGTTTATTATAATTTTCTTTTATAGTCCTGAAACAGCACCACCTTACAGTGTCCTGGTGGATAAAGTGGGGGTAATACCCACAATTTAATTTATGTTCCTTTCCATCTCACTTTTCTTCTCTCTTCTTTCCATTATGGATTATTCCATTCCTTTAACCAGAAAATCTCTTGTAATGTAAATATTTAAATGCCACAAATGAAATGGCTTCAGTCAATGAAAGTATTCTTATAGGTCTGCTTATGAAAAGAAAAAATAATCTCATCCTGTAAATCAGTGATTCCCAAACTGTGTGATGATAGAGGATAGGTTAGCATCATTTTTTGGGGGTTTTTTTGACTTCTTGTTTCCTAGAGCATTTAATTTTTTTTTTTGAGTTAGGAAAACTGTATTTCATATTTCTTTTACATAATTAATTTTAGTGCTTAAATAATAAAGTAAATATTTATATATGTCTTCACTTGGCTATTAATAAATAAATACACATTTTATATATATATATATATATATATATATATATATATATATATATATATATATATATATAGGCAATATGTGCAATAACTTTCACAGAGAAAATACTATATTCACTGTAGGCAGAAATTGCTGGGTAGTAACACTTCGATAATTCTGGTCCTAGTCAAAAGTGCTGAACCTAGTTGATTAAAGCATTGGTTCATAAATTTGGTGACATAGTAATTTTGAGTTCAAATCCTGGGACAGGCAGTTTGTACTTGGCCTCAGTGGAAACAGGACAAATAATAACTGACACTACTAAAAATAAAAACTAGATGAGATGTCCCATATATGGGCAGTGGAACAAGAACAGTCAACCCCCCAGATTAAATAAAGGGTTCAGTTCGGAATTCCCTTTAGGTTATGCGGATCAATATACACCTGTTGAAGGCAAGAGGACACAGCAGCTGAAACGTGATAACAAGATGAGGTCAATAGTCTGAATATAAATAAGTAAAATTTAGTACTCATACTAGGTTAAGAAAATTACATTCAAATTTTTTTTTTTACTAATTCTTCTCCCAATAAAAGGCTCAAGAGCCACTCAAGGGGAGAGGGTTGCTGAATGAGGTTGTTATATGAACATAAGAGGAGGAGGTAAGAAATGTAAATTATGAGGATATGTAAGAAAGAGTTAATCCTAGTCTGGAAGATCATAGTGATCAGGGAAGTATCCTCTCAGGAGTCTTTTCCACAAAGTAGAAGTTCTTTGAGAGAAGCTGTTCAAATAGGACTTCTTACTAATCAACAATGACTTTGTAGGACAGATTTCTATAAGAACTTGCCTTACATAGCTTGAAAAAGAATTTATAAAGATTATTTTAAATGGGAAACACCTTTCAGAAATTAATATTTTTTGACATGGAGAAATACTTGTTCGGGCCTTGTAAATTCCATTGTCATTTTAGGGCCTTGTAAATTTTATTGTCAGTTTAGGGCCTTGTAAATTTTATTGTCAGTTTAGGGCCTTGTAAATTTTATTGTCATTTTAGGGCCTTGTAAATTTTACTGTTATAAATGTTTATGTAAGTTCCTGTAACTTAAAAAAAACAAACTATAAGACTGCTATAAGCTTCTAAAATCCATAACAAAACATGATTTCTGAATGACTTGATAATAAAAAAATTTAGAATATCTTTAGATGTTAACCAGCAGTTCCCAAACTGTGCTGAGTAGGCAATTTACTCTCAGAGGCACCATAAAACACACACTCTCTATTTATCAACCTCCACACAAGGCCAGTTTTTAACATGGGGCATTCGAAGCCCCATAGGCTCAGCCAAAAATTGCCCATAGACCCCCATATACATGGGGTCGGGTTTGTCTACCTCCCCAAACAAGACTGTATGTCTTCGTCTGGGCCCCTCTCCACCTAGAGGTAGAGAGTTCAACAAGAGAGGAAGAGAAAGCCTCCTATACACTTTTTTTTTTATTTCTTCCCAAGCAAGGTGATAAAGCCACTAAGACACAAGCAGTTATTGAGGGTGAAGGAAACTGAGAAAAAAGAAGGGACAATAAAAAGAACGGAAAAAAATATTCTGCTTATAAATTTTTGTAGATTTTAGATGACAGGAAAGCAATAAACTGGGAAAGAGTTCCAAAGGCGAGAAATGTGAGAATTAGAATAGAACTTAGCAATTTCAACAGTAAAATGATGAGACCTAACTGCCAATCTAGTATTACTCTTAAGTTCATGAAGTCAAGGTGCCAAAGAGGAAAGCTCATCAGAACAATTACATTTATAAAAAAAGTTACATGGAAGCTACATCATGACAGTAGGAAAGTTGATTGAAGCCAAAATGCCAGGTCAGGAATGATAACAGATTCTTCTTTGGGTCAAGAATCTCTAGATAAATAGTAAAAACACCAGACCAGATGTGACAACAATATTCAATGCATGGACGAATGGTACATCTAAGACATATTCCAAGCTTTATAATGCTTATAAACTTCATGCTAAAAAAAACAAAGTCTATGAAAATTTTAATAGATACATCGACTTATGTCCAGTTGCAGACATGTGCTGGTAAGAGTTTAAAACCCATAGACTTTGATTATAGTAATTTCAGCCATTACTTCAATTGTCTTTATTCATGAAAATGAAGTAAGTTCCATAATGTTAAAGAGAGATTATTGGTTCTGATGTGGTGGCTCAGCTTCAGTTACTTTCCCACTGCTGTAAGGTTGCCTTTCTATGTTTTTTCTATAAATACTTTCATGGAAATTGTTTGGATGAGCTTTTCTCTATGGTATCTAGACTTTTTGAATTTAAGTGCAGTACAAGACTGGCGTCAAGATCTCATCAATTTACAGTTAAAGTGGCTAGATATAGCCATAAAATCTTTTTTTTTTGTAGGCCCCTGTCAGTCAGGGTTGACCATGGTTAGCATCCTAATTGTCTGCTTGGCTAGAGCATCGGCGTCTGACTGTAAAGGCCAATGCGTGAGTGACAATCTCTGTTTCAGAGGTTGCACGTGTGTTCTGTGTCGCTGGTCTGTTGGAGCAGCCACTTTGCTTTCTATGGGCCCTCCTTTCCATGGCAACTTGTGTCAGCTTCTTCTCTCCTGACTTGAGGGGTTCGGTCAGGGTCCCTCTCCATTTGGATTGTATGCCTGCCAGGCTCTCCCAGGACTGTGTTGATGTCCACAGCTTTCATGTCATGTCACATGACATTGCGGTACCACAGCTGTGGCTGCCCAGTGAGTCTCCTTCCAGCGGTCAGCTCTCTATACAGGAGGTTTTGGGGGATGCGGCTGTCTGGCATGCGATGGACGTGGCCCAATCAATGGAGTCTGGACTGTCTGAGCAGTGTGAGCATGCTGGTCAAACCTGCTTGAGACAGAACCTCAGTGTTGGGCATCTTGCCATGCTATTCCCATGAATTCTATGCTGAAAGTTTCTTTTCTTGCCTGTGGAACTCCTAGCTCCATGCTTTCCAGCCAATTTTAATCTGCAAAAATTTAAAAGCAATGTCAATCATTATGTCCTGTTCTCCTGATTATTTTCCTTTTCTTGCTTATTATTAATGTTTCTGTTCCTAATTCTTCCACAATGTGTAACCCCTTGTGTTTTAGTGGCTTTACTGCCTTGCATGGGGTGATACCAATTAAAAAAATATTTTAAAAATAGAATGAAAAAGAGCAGACACGTTGTTGGACTTTATTTAATTGCTTCCGGAATATGGAGGGGGAAAAACTTCTTACCTGTCTAACTGGCACACTGTGATTCACTGCTCATCTCATCTGGCAATTCACTTTCAACATAGATGGCACTTTCCTCTACAAACGGTGTTTACTTTCTGTATGGATCTAAATTCTTAAAGGCTCTCCACGGCCTTGCTGATGATTGTACCTACTAAATGGTGAGGTAAACGAAGTGTTTAAATAAAAATATGTTTAATTGATACAATCTTTAATTTATATTATTAATGTGTATTTAACTATTTCTATGTTGTTGTTGAACCCATCCTCTCCAGAAAATCATTTGTTCCCCACCCTACTTTGTAAAAATGATGTGTTCTAATTTTAGCATGCAAACTCTTATTTGCAGGACCCTGACTTAAAGCCCACACCTCCACTCAAAACACTGGTGATGGGTCTGGTTCTAGTTCTTTGTATGTAAATTAAAATGCCAAGTTCCTTCAGGATGTAGGCACTCATGGCTCTCCACACTTTCCTTTTTATTATCTTTTAATTGCCATGTCTTGTTTTTTTTTAATGGTTGATTCGTTTTGTACGGTTTATCAACCCTTTTTACAGGTTATTTAAAGTCAGAAAATATTTTTAGATTGTAAGAATTTTTGTTTTTGAGATAATAATGGTTACAAGTCTTACTAATTAACCCATAGCTTGGAGGAGAAGAAGCGGATTCATACGTTTCCCTAGGGTATTTGCGTGCAAGTGAATATAACGAACCCAACTGGAATTGGAACTCAGCTCTGCAATTAACAATTCCGAGACATTATTTATTGCACTAGCTGCACATCCAAACTTACAGCCCCTGGTATTCACAAGCGTCCACCCATCTAGGTACGAACCAAACTCGACGTTGCTTAACTTCGGTAATCGTACGGGAACCGACGTTTCAACGTGATACGGCCGTAATCCCAATGCTTTCTTGGGAAAGATAGTGAAAGTGCTTTCCGTTGCCTTCTCCACGTTTTGAATTCAGATTTTTTTTATTTAGACTTGAGATCCAAGCCTACCCTGCTACTTACTTAATCCATAGCTTGGGGGGGGGAGAAGATTAATGATTTGTCCAAAAGTGAACGCAACTGATTAGCCCGGAATTTGAACTCGGCTTGACCGGTCCCGCTTTCTGTGCCGGTATCCGTTACACTTGTGGGGATTGTAATATTGATATTAAAATTCTTTAAAACTCCAAACACTACTTGCTCATTCTTGAACTTGAATTAAATTGGCAAAAAAGGACAAAAATAATAATTAATTTTGTTATTACTAACCACACGAACAGAAATGTACTTAGTTGTTCGATGTTTTTCTTCATAAGGTGTCGTGAAAACACAAAAGGTGCTGTTGTTTTAGAACCGCAAAAAAGCCGATCGGGAAGAGACCGTCTTTCCTTTGCCATGTTCTAAAATAAAAATGCTGAAACATCAGACTAGCAGTAAAAATGCCACTTATTTTTCCTTTTTGTATAGCACAGTTTGGATAAAGAATTTATTGTGATGGATGACCTGTAACTCCGTACATGTATCGAAATCGGAAATAAATACAATGGTAAAAATATTTTAATTTGCTGAAAATCACAATGAAAATCTGTATTAGAAACTGAATTGTTTTTCAAGTGTAGCTAATTTCGTTTCTCCAGTTACACGCATAAATTTTGCCTAGCATTCAACTCCTGACAAAACTACATAATTAATTACTATTCTTAAGTTCATTCGTAAAATCTCTCACCTGATCCAGGAAGTACCGAGTACACGTAAAGAAGCAATTTCAACCACCATGGAGCACTTAACTCACCACATAGAATTGTTTCTGAAATGAAAGACAAAAAAAAAATATTTGATCTTATTTTTAGCAAATTAGTTTGTTTTGTTTTTTTCGTTGTTTTCTCTCTCTCTCTCTCAGCAGATGTAATCCTGTCTGTAAAAACACATGAACACACTGTGAAATGATAAAATGAGAAATATATTTTTAAACATAAGATTAATAATTAAAAAAAAAATGCTTCAATACAAGATTAAAATAAAAACAAAGTCGCATTTCAAGTCAATTTGAAAGTGAATTGGTGTGTACCATTAATCAATTAATCATTATTTTTTGTTTCTTTACTCCAAACAACTTTTCTTCTTCTGGAGACCACACAGCAGAACATCAGATATTTTTATGATGATTCTGGGGTGGGGTTAAAGACTCAAGAAAAAAACAAAAGATAACAATAGACATAAACGCTATAGGAAGGAACTTCACTCAGACCCCACTTTTTTCTGTGTAACTGAGACCTCATTCTATGATGACAATGCTATTGAGCATTTCATATATGAATATTTCATATATTTCGATATCATTTGATATATGTGTATATTAAAAAAGAAGAGAGGTGCCGCAAACGTTTTTGGTTGTAATGTGTTTTTAGAAAAATATATTATGCTTTATTTTCCATAATAAATATTTTATTTTCCATAAAAAGCATAATATTTATTTTCAAAAAATCACAATACAACCAAAAACGTTTGCGGCACCTCTCTTCTCTTCTTTTTAATATATATACTTTTCTCTCGTTGGAACCACTACAACCTCTTTCTTATATATATATATATATATATATATATATATATATATATATATAATATGTGTGACGTCACGAGTTGCGACGCGATTTTCGCTTCCGCGTCTCGTATATACGAGTTTGTCATTACTTGGAAATTTTCACGCAGCAAGGGCGGACTATCATTGTTGTTTCGTCCGTGTGTTGTTTGATTTATTGAAATTGTCATCTTTGATAATGGCTTGAGTAAGCCGAAAGTTTAGATTGGATTTAAACATGTATCAATATGGCGATTTCTTTTCGTCTTTCAATGATAATGTTATTAAACTTATCAGACAATATGAAAGGAACTTGAAATAAATAGACAAAACTTGTCTATATTATTTAATGAAACATGCATTAATGAAAAATTGCTGCCTAAATATACACAATATATATATATATATATATATATATATTTCTGTATCATTTGTCTCTAAAATCATTACTGCTGTTAATTTTCAAAATAAATCAAAACTCTTAATTTGCCGTTTTTTTAACCCGAAATATTAGCTTCTAAAACATTTTTTTAAATCTACTTACTGGGCCCCATTCCAAAAAATAGGTACAAGCGAAAAAAACTGTATTTTTAAAAAACTCCAAACAAAATTAATGTTTAGTTTTTACACTGAGCATAAAAATGTTGATTTCATTAAAAAATTAGATACAGTGTTTTTAAAGAAGTTTTTCAAAGTTCTTTATAAACATCCATAACAAACAAGTCGCCATAAAATAAAATAAAAATGTGTGTGAGGACTAAAATCAGTTAAGTTTTAAAGAAATATGAGCAATATTCAATATGATGTTAACACCTCCACAGATTAGCTAAAAAATAAGCATGCGTAATGAAAAAATGCTCCAATCAAACAAAATTATATCGTCAAAATCTTTGTGTTATTATCAAGAGGGAAGACTAAAGAATATTTTTATGCAAATATATATTTTTTAATCCTGTTTAGCACCTTCTAAATTTTGGTTAAAAAAAAATCTTGTTTTCTCGTGTGAATGTGTCACCATAAATTAGTCCGAGAAATTTGAGCGCCTTTTTGCGGTGAAGAACACATTGCTTTGGAAATTCTTGTAAAAATCAGATAATTGTCAGATTTTAATGAAACTTTCAGTATTTATTCATAAACGAATTTTAAACATTTCTTTTTAGATGATAAAAAAAAAATTTCTTACATTCTAAACATATTTCCTGACTTTAAATAACCTGCAGAAAAGGTTGATAAGCCTTAGAAAACGAATCAATTAATTAAAATTAATTAAAAAAAAAATCTTAAAATTCTATATTAATTTGTAGCGGTCAGGTGTAAATAAAAGCTGTACTTACTAATCATAAATAGAAAAGCTTACTCCAAATCACCAACCCGAGTATTTTAAAAAGAATTTTGAATTTTTTTGTGTGTGTGAATGTAAAATACTGATTTTTAACACTAAATTAAGTAGCAGTAACTATATAGTAAATTTAAAATTTATTGGTAATTTTCTAACATTTCTTCTTCTTCAAAAAAAAAAAAAAACTCCATAAGCAATATACTATCGTATAAAAAGCCAAAGTATCTAAAATTCGATGAAATATTAGAATGCTTAAAATAAGTTAAAATTACCGAGTAGTTAAAAATATAGAAAAAGGCGTTTACATTGTATTTGTTATGTAATACTTTTTTTACAATTATCTCCTTATTTAAATTTGCCAAACATGAAGCTGTTAACAAAACTCTCAACATCTCACTAAAAACACCTACCTCCGTGTTTTATTAAACTTCTGCGATATTTTTTTAACTTAAAAATAGGTACCACCAAAAAATATGGATACTTTTTTCCGCAATGAAAGCAAAAACTCGACTCTTTTATTTGCCAAAAATCAGGAAATTATCCGGTTCAAAAGAATTTTTTAGGACTTATTCATTTACTGAATAAATAGGTTATTTTATTAAAAATACTTTGCGGAAATATTTTTGGGAGTATGTTTCACTTTCCCATCTTTTGATATCGCGTGTTTATTTTATTTTTTTTTGGGGGGGGTGTTCGTCCAATTTGTTTTTTTTTTTATTATTTATATAAAAAGAAATCTCTGAAGATATTCAGTAAAAGATTTACGCAATATCGAGTGTGAGCATACAGAAACATCGGCCCGCATCTTGCTAAAAAGTAAAAACAATTCAATAAAGCTCAAACAAAAAATATTGGTAGTTGTATTATTCAAGAAAAACAGGTTATTTTCTTTCAGATTCGATAGAAAAAAAATCTAAACTTAACATTTTTTAAAAATTACTTGTATTTTTTTCAGTGCAATTTTTAAATTAATCTCGTTGCTGTTCGTCATAAAAGTTTATTTTATTAAATAAATACATGTTTAAAGACTTTAAAAATGTAAAGTTTAATGTCATTTTCGAGTGTGAACCATTTTTACATGAATTTTCTTTTACTTTTTCCTCTTAGTAACTATTAGATTATTTTTGGTATACATGTACAAAAAGGAAATAATTCTGATATTGATCGACTACTATTCAACCCGTTCAGTCAGTATTTAAAAAAATATTCATTATAAATTTAATAAAAGTGTATAGAATAAAAAATGATTTTCCAAAACTATTGCTTATATAAGGTTATAAAAAAATTACTTTTAAAAATAAATAACAAATTCTTAATTATTGCATTGCTGGTTTTCCGTACTTCTTTAGGTTATTTTTCCTTTTTCCCGCGCTTTTTCGGACAGGGGGAGAATTACAGTCTTTCTATTTTTTCCTTTAACCTCACAGACTAGCGTGCGTAAATAAATTTATTTTCATTCTGTTTTTAAGTAAAGGGAAGCATTACTTTTGAGAAAATCCAATTAAATAATCCTTGAATTTACTAAGAGACTTCGAAACACATCTCTAGGGCAAATATTGGATTTTAAATGAATCTTAAATTTATTTACATTTTTCGTATACAATGGCAGCACGCGTCGATGAGTGATAAAAAAACGTACCAATGTCTTAAAATGCCGCAAAAGTTTTTTATACAATAAATTATTTTTTTCATTTCATAAGGATTAGCTTTTTAGACCATTATTATCTTTCGAATGGAACCGAACTTGAAGTTTAAAGGCATTTAAAATGTGTTTTTCGAGTTTTTAGAAAGTACGTGCCGATACTTACATCAAAAAGTTCTTTTGGTTTGCTAATGGAATGTTACGCTAAGATAAATCCAGTTCTGATTTATGAAATACGCTGGTGACAGGAATTCTGTAATACTAACAGACATTTTTATTTAAGTTATCACTTGGATGTTAAAAAAAAAGGAAAAAAAGTTTAGCTCAGCTCCAAATCGACGTTCTCTCGTTTTTGGAAATTGATAAGAAATGAAAAACACAATTTGAATTAATAGAACTTTCGCAGTCTTTATTGATCTTAGAATCAATATTATTCGTTTTTACTAGCTTCTTGACCATTGATATTTTCGTCAGTGGCATAATCTTCTTAACTTATTTTTGCATTTTTTCGATCTCCCAACCCCCACCCACCTTTTTCGATCTCATAAAGCATATGAGATATTAAGAATGTTATTGTTAAGCATTTACAAATTTTGTCATCCACCCCGCCACAAAGGAGAAGCTAATTGAATATATGGAGACAGCAACCAATTTCAAGTGGGAAACGGGTTTTTTTTGGGGGGGGTAAAATTTTTTTACACTTCTCATGCCTATTCTCTTTTTTCGATAGAGAATGAAACCGATTAAAAAAAAGACTTGCATTTTATCACGCTGTTTCAATTCTGAATTTTTTTTTTAAATCATTTATTATTTTTTACTTCAAAGACTCTTGTGTTGGAACATGAGAAATATGAAAATAAACAAACCCACATATAATTTTAACCAATTCTTCGAGATCTGGTAAAGCTCGTTACCATAACAAAATGTCGCAAAGAAGAACCAATCTGAGTCTGTACTTAAAAACAGCTGAAAACTTCATTATTCAAAGAGAGGCCTTCACGACAACTGCAATGACCAAACAAAGTATATGCATTCGAAGCAGTTTTAGAAAATTAATCAGCAGAAGAGGAAGTTCAAAAAAAGAACCACTCCCCTTAATCTAACTGATTGCTATGGAGTGCTCAAGTGTGTCATCAGTCATAGTATATCCGTCTTAATAATAGACTGACCATCCACCCAAGACGGCAAAAGGCAAAAAATGGCGCAAGAATCTTGAATCAATCACGTGACTGCATTGATCACGTTGTCGCTTTTCTTGTCATGTGACTGAAATAGATTTCTTCTCTTGCAGACTCTCAAAACACAAGCACGCGTTTACAAATCATGTTTAGATGTGTGTGTGTACGCATTGTGCCTCCTTGAGAACCAGTCACAACTCTCCTGTATTGCAATTCATGGCTAGTCACTTTTTAGCTGTTTAAAAAGTAATTTCCTGTTCTTTCTTTCTCTCTCTAAAAAAGAAAAGAAAATGTTGTTTGTTCACTTGAGAAAAAAAGAAAGAAAAAAAATGAAAACGTCTGCTGCACCACCTTTTTACTTTAAATTGTGTGTTGTACGGATTATTTCAGTCCGTGTGTACTTGAGAGATATCATGATGTTGATAATTTTTAAATTGAGTTTCGATGTGTGGGTGTGTTCTGAAAAATTTTAAACGGTTACGAATAAAATGCCTCCCCTCCAAACATTTAATTAATAAAAAAAATAAATAAACTACAATGTAAATTTTTATTTAAAAAAGTAAAAAATTTATAAATCTTATAGAAAAAAATTGTTAAAACAGACATAATTGATGTAAAACTTTTGCTAACTAAATCGACTTAAACTTTACGAAATAAATGAACTGGAATTTTTTTTTTTTTTTTTTTTTAAATAATAGAAATAAATTTACTTCAAACTGACTTTTCTGGCTAAAAAAAATAATTGAGAAAATTGATCAAATTTTTTAAAAAAAATGCATTTTTTAAAAATTATTTGTTTATTTTTAAGTGCTTACAAATTTGTCATTTCAAGTCACACTTGCTTGACTGAAGACTAAAAAGTACAAAAAAGTACCTTTTTTTGTTAAATAAATATAATTATTAAAAATGTTTTTTCAGGTGAAATTTGTTTAACTTCTTTCAATGAATAAACGTCAACAAACATGAAGTAAAAAAACAAAGTTCAATTAAAAATTTATTTTAGTTTTCTTTAACGCAACCATTGCGAGGAGAGTCACAGAAAGAAAAGAGAGAAACAATAAGAGAGGAAAGGAAATGTTTCTGCGAACACTCCACTTCCTGTGCGCATGCGCATAGGCGCTCCTCTTGTCTACTATTATGGGGTATCAGTTGTGCGTGGCATTGTGGGTGATTATTACCTTCTACAATCCAAGATGGCAGCCGGACTAGATTGGTAATTGTAACAATTTTTTTTCCCCTTTTACAATAATCAACGTCACTAGAATTTTTTTTTTTAGTTCCGTTACTGCCGCTGTTTTTACCATGGATACTAGTTGTGACAGGTCGGCTAACCGAAGTGAGTTTCTGGTCGGTGGAAAGTATCGTCTGGTGCGTAAAATTGGTAGTGGGTCGTTCGGTGATATTTACCTTGGCATCAACATAACGAATGGCGAGGAAGTGGCCGTCAAGTTGGAATCGGTCAAAGCTAGACACCCGCAGCTATTGTACGAAAGTAAATTGTACAAAATATTGCAGGGTGGAATCGGTATCCCGCACGCCCGATGGTATAACCAAGAAAGAGATTACAACATTCTTGTACTGGATCTTTTAGGACCGAGTCTGGAGGACCTGTTCAACTTCTGTTCCAGGCGATTCACAATGAAGACGGTGCTCATGATAGCCGACCAGATGATCGGTCGAGTCGAATATGTTCACAACAAAAACTTCATACACCGTGACATCAAGCCCGATAATTTTCTGATGGGCATCGGTCGACATTGTAACAGGGTGTTCATGATTGATTTCGGTCTGGCCAAGAAATATCGTGATAGCAGGACACGCCAACATATACCTTACCGTGAAGACAAGAATCTCACCGGGACAGCTCGCTACGCCAGTATCAATGCCCACCTGGGAATTGAACAGAGTAGACGGGACGATATGGAGTCCCTTGGGTACGTCCTGATGTATTTCAACCGAGGTAGCCTACCCTGGCAGGGATTGAAAGCTGCTACAAAAAAGCAGAAATATGAGAAAATCAGCGAGAAGAAAATGTCTACCTGCGTCGAGGTCCTTTGTAAAGGTTTCCCGGCGGAGTTTTCAATGTACTTGAATTATTGTCGTGGGTTGCGCTTCGAGGAAGCCCCCGATTATATGTATCTTCGACAGCTTTTCCGCATTCTCTTCCGTACCCTCAACTACCAGTACGACTATACGTTTGACTGGACAATGTTGAAACAAAAGGCTACCAGCAATGTACAACAGCAAACAGTCACACAGGCAGCTGCTCGCTAAACAAACAAAAATTGGCTGTTGGGAAAGGAAAATAAAATTAAAATACCTACAAATTCAGAAACATTATTGAAAAACAAAATAAGTTAGTCTCTTTGTCTGACTAACAAGCTAAGGGAATTTCAAGTTGTTAAAAAGAAAAAAAATTTGGAAAAAAAAAATAACAACAACAAAAAACACCCCCACCAAAATAACTGAAGACTGGTTTTAAATATTGTAAATAAATTGTACAGTACCTACAATTTAAAAGAAATGTGGGAAAGAAATGAATTTAAAAAGAAAATAAACTCCCCCCTCCTTTTAACTGCAAAAGATTTTCTTACTTGCCTAAAAAAAAAAAATATAAAACAAATACAGCTTGCATTCAGATACACCTTGATAATATATTTAACACCTGAGACAAATGCCCCCCCCCTAAAAAAAAAATAATTAAACTTAAAAGAAAAGTAGACAATCCAAGTGCTTTTTTTTGTAGCCAAGCAAAAAGTGATGTCTTTTTCTTTTATTTTAACAAAGGAATTTAAAAAAAAAAAAAAAAATTACAAAAAAAAAAAAAAAAAGCCTTTAACATCCCACAACTCAATTATCTTTATGGTGGTCAGAAAATACAAATTTTTTTTTTTTCTTGAGGAGGAAAAAAAAAAGGTTAATGGCAAAACATCGCGTTATTTTCTTTCTGATTGCAATTCGCAAACTCCAAAAACCGAAAGAATGGCGTGGAAACTAAAAAAGAGTCTAAAAAGGAAACACTGCATTTGTTTTTGATGGAGAATTGGGATCTGATATTGTTACCTATTCTCTTCTAATTTCTTTGCCAATTGGCAGGACTGGAGATAAAATGGGGTGGGTGCCTGTTCAACTTGGATTAATGTATTTGCAGCAATGTCTATTATTATTTTCTTGTCCTTCTCTCCACAACTTCAAGTAATAAGTGAAGGATTGTTGGTGGACATGTCTTCTTCTTGCATTACAAAAAAAAAAAAAAACACGAAAAAAAGAAGCGGATTTACTTATAATTCGCAATAAGATAAGCAGCAAATATTAACTAGCAGAAATTCCTCTTGTGGATCTGCATGAAGTCTTTTAGAAGCTTGTAATTTACTAGTGAAAAAAACAAGATTGCTTTTATTTGTGTGTGTGTGAGAGACAACTGTGTGTGTGTGTGTATATACTGAATGATGGTGCAAGTGAATTTAAAAAAAGAAAAAGTTTTCCCTTATTTTCTTTTCTTTCCTTTAACCCTTCCCTCCCAATTATAAAAATGCTTAAAATTTTAAGTATAATTAAATAGGCCCATATGTTTTCTTATTTGTGTGGCATCCCCCCCCCAACTTTCTGTGTATAATCATTGTTTTTAAACAGTTTAAAAAAAAAAAAAAAGGCTCTCCCCACTCTCTCCTCTTAATTAACTGTGTGTGTTTTTTGTGACACCCCCAAAAGCAAAAAAAAAAAAAAAAACACTAGCTTGAAGTATATTGTAAAAATGTATTTTTCTTTTCAGTAATTTTTTTCTTGATATTTTTATTACTTTTTATGGACAAGTTTGTGTCAGGAACAAAGCTTTTCTTCTTTTTTTTTTTTTTTTTTTTTTCTTAAGGTACCACTTGTTGTTATGTACAAAAAATGTATCAAGCTAAAAAGTTTTGTTTTGTAAGTGTATAAAAACAAAGTAATATTATAAACTAAAAATGTTTTTATTTTCTGTAAGAATTTCCCCCTTTTTTCTTTCTTTTTTTTTTTTTTTTTTTTTTTTTTTTTTTTCCTTTTCTTCCTCCCCCTCTTTATTCTTAGATTTTCCTTTTGTGTGCCTGTTATAATTTCAGGGTCGGGGAAGAAACCTCGTTTTGGGGGTCTTAAAATTATTGGGAGCCAATTTGGTCATCTTCCTGCCACTTTCATTTATTTTTCCCAATGTGACCCTCCCCACCCTTTATTATAATTACAAAAGGCAGTGTTGTAAAATATTTACCAACATCTACAGATAAATAAAAATTTTAAAAAAATGATTGGGTGTAAACAACTTAAAATGACTTTAGTTAATTGATTTACAACCCTACAATAACAACTGTGTAGATTTTACTAGTACAGAAAGAAAGAAAAATGATTTTAGTTTGCCTTGAATAAAGAATTTGATTCTCTGGTCGTCATCCTCATCAGTATATCAAATGTGATACTATTGATGTGTCATAATTATTACTTAGTCCTAAAGTTTTGATTTGGATAGAAATTAAGCAATTAATCTTAAAATTATCACACTTTAGAATCACTTTTCAAAAAGTTTTAAGTTTATCAATTTTTCTTTTAGTTAAATTGCCAAAAAAAGTTAAAAATTGACATTTCAGTTTCATGCCTTCTCTATCATCCTCCTCCCCTTTTTTAAACTCTTAACTTAAAATGCATGTTCTATTATGATAAATGTTTAAGATTGTATAAAATTATTTTGCTTATTTTTGCCATTTATTTTATTTTTTCTAATTTTTGGTATAGTTAACCCATTTCTAGAATTTGTTTCCTGCTTGATTAATTAAATTGTCAATTATCATTGTTTGTGATCCACACAACAAAAAGCATTGAATTTCCTAATTAGTTTCTCTCCACTGGTCTTCCTTTTCTCTCTTCTCTAAAATGATGGCAATCTTGAAGTGTCCTGATCATTTAGTTCAAAACATATCTACTACCCTAGCACCTACCCCTTCCCTCAGTATTTACCAACTTTTAGCCAAAAAACAAAAAAAATATCTTTCTGAATCAGTCCCAGCAAAATCTTCTTATATGTCTTATTTTTGGTCACATAAAATTCTAGTTAAACAATACTTGAAGCCTTTTTAATCTTTTCTACAGGAAAAGAAAGCTCAGCTTCTTGCCTTATTTCTTTATTTTTGACCTTTACTGGACTTGATGTACAGTTCTTCAGTTGCCAACAACAGTAGGTGAATAGTAGTTAAATGCTGCAGTTATGTGTGTGTGTGTGCGTGTTTAAGAAGCTGTTAAAATAAATAAATAAAAGAATCTTTATTATTCATATTTAGGTTGACTTAAACCCCCAGATATTATACATGGTTAAGATGAAAGTTGGAGTAATTTAATTTTTTTTTTTCTTTAAATTTAAAAAATGATTTAAAATTCTATTTCCTTCTCCCTTATTTTTTCAAATTTTTCTTCCAAAAAGTTATATTCCAACTAATGTAACCCAGCTAAGTGTATTTCTGTTTGAACACAATCTTTGTATAATTGGTAATATTTTAGATGTGTTGAAATATATTTCTGATATTGATGCCATTAAAAAAAAAAAAAAAAAAAAAGCCAACTCAGTAAATCAGATTTTGAAAATAAAATTTGTTTGAAAATACTTGCAGTTTAAAGATGTTATAACTCAAAAATTAAATCCCTTACCTTTTTGCCCCAACTTTTGAGTTGATGATCTTAACATTTCAAGTTAGTGCCATGCTTGTCATAAACATTTTTTTTTCTTTGCAGGTTGAAATTATCAAATGCTTCATTACTAGCAAAGAAAATTAGTTTCAAGTTTCATGTTGACATGTTTTTGTTTTTTATTTATTATTGTTATTCTTCTGGGATAGGCTTCAATAGAGTCGATCAGTTAGTTTTGACTGATTGATCCAGAGATTGAATTTCTATTCCAAAGAGTATCAAATCTTTTGTCATTATTGCAACAGTTTATTGGCAACTATAAATGTTCAAGTTTTGCTTTTTGAAGAAACACTTGTGCATTCATTGAATCTTTTATTAATTACCTGCAGTTGATGTTTTTGAATTACATATTTGCTACTGAATTTTTTTTTCTTTCTTTTAATTTATTTAATTCTGTTACATGTGGTTTAGTTTACAGTAAATTAAAAATTAACTATAACTTTATTCTACAGGTTTAGTTAAAATGCCATACACTATAAAAATATAAAAAGTACTAATTCTATTGTCAGATGCTTTCCAGGAAGAAAATCATTTTTTTTTTCTTTCTCTCTCTCTCCACTCCCTCCCTTTTTTTTTCTTTCCTCTCTTCTTTTCTTGATCTACTCATAGCAAATTTCACTGTTCAATAATATTTGATTGACTGAGAACAATTGAATCTTAAAACAATTTGCTATTTTTCGTGATTGGGTTTTGAGAAGTGATTTAATAAGTTTCAGAATATCATAGGCTAAACTTTCAAGTCATAAATAACTTCTATAAGTAATATTCAGGCATATTCGTGTTTCTACATATCTTTTAGATAAACTTTTGAATTCAGGGATTTTTCTTGCTTTCAAAATGGCTCCCAATTAGATGCTTTTTTTTTTTTTTTTTTTTTTTTTTTATATATATATATATATATATATATATATATATATATATATATATATATATATTTATATTTATATTTATATTGAGGTACTTACTAAATATCGGGCCAGTATCTGTGAACAATGCATTAAGAATCTGTACTTTGCCTTGAATGTGAAATTACCGATTTCTGACTCCAGCAAGTAATTCTTTTTCAGGAAAGATGTGTTGTACAACTTTTCATTAAAGACCTTCCTACCAAATAATAACAGTGTTTGTTTGGATACTGTTGCCTGTTTATCTGAACCTCCGTCACAGAAATGATTGTTGAATGGTCAAGAGAATCTGGCAAATTATAATCTTGTACTTAAAACTGTAAAATCAGTCAATGTTTGTTCCTTGCCTAGATTGCTACTAGTTACAGAAAGCTAACTTTAAAGATCATTTAATGCTTTCTTAACATTTTCAGCTCTTCTGTTTTCATCGCCATTGTTTTCAACATGAGCTACAGGTTTTCATTTGCCAAAATAATAAAAAAAAAAAGATGAGGTTTAGCTTTGTGGATCAAAACTTAGCAATTGGAGGTATGAGCTATTCTTTGGCTCAGTAAATATTGAAACCACTTATTTTTATTTTATTTTATTTTTTTTTTTTTTTTTTTTTTAAATCTATTCCACAAGTGCTATGGTGATACATTCATAATGTATATAGTGATTATTGAT